ATTTGTCATGCCGTGTTCGTTCGGCAGTCCTCCGGGTGAATCGCTTGGATTGCATGCTTCTCCTTCCACTGTAAAGGAATAAAAATTACTTAAGAACGCCCAAAAAATAATTTTCCCTAACCTATAGTTTGCCTACGGTAAAAACTCCTCTAAGAAGCGAAAATTTCACGAAAATCGCTTTACTTCTGGTGCTAGTAGTAATGAGATTGCTAACACATCGGCTGATGCTAAAGTTGATTCTGCCAGTGCCAAAAAGTTAAAATCTGGCTATGAAGAAGTAAAAAATACTTTTACAGATAAACGTGAATCTGTAGAAGGTAATAGAATTGTCAGTTTGGCAAATTTAATTGCTATATTTTCCATGGTATGTTTCCCTCCCTGATTGTTTCTCTCTTGGATTAGAACTGGTAGAAGACTCTATCACAGGGTTATGCTCAAATATGACCATTAAATGCGAGCATTGTCCTTATTTGAAAGCATTTTCAACAACAGAGAAACAAAAAAATTCTTGCTGTATTAATTCATCAATTGTTTTAGTGCTACGTTTAATCGGGAAAGGATTTTCAGCTGGAAGAAAGTTATGAGCTTTCCTCTGTTTACCCTTTCTAGCAAAGGGTGCTTCTCGAAAGCAAGAAAAAAAACTGTTGAACACTGTGCAGAAGTTAACATGCAATCTGCTTTAGATGAAGTTCACGAGATGTTGCTAAATGTGGAATATCTGTCGATGGGACATGGCAACGCAGAGGATACTCATCATTAAATGGATATGTTAGTGCCATTTCCATCGACACTGGTAAAATTTTAGATGTTGAAGTCATGTCACAGTACTGTCGTATATGCTCAAAAGGTAACAAGTCATCAGAGCATATCTGTGCAAACTATAAAGGTTCAGTTGGTAATATGGAAGTTGTTGGTGCTTATCGCATCTTTGAACGGTCAAATGCAAAAAATGTGCAATATAGTGAATATTACGGTGACGGAGACTCGAAAGCGCCATTATATCACTTATGGGCTGTAATAGTGGCACAACTAAAAAAAAATATGTGTTTTGGACTAAGAACAGGTGTAAATATGAAAATACACATTCTTTCAGCAGCACAACTCATAATTCAACTTGAAGGTAATCTTCGTTTAAGCAAACTAAAGCATTTTGCTTAGCAATGAAAACTTGAAACCCACTTATCTCAAACTTGATTTTTTGAGTTGTGCCGCTATTGCAGCCCATGAGCGAGATAGTAAAAAATTGTCAAATCACTTTAAATGTACTGGTGTTTTTTTACATTGCATTATTAGTTAGTTCAAATGTAAAGATTTAATAATTTCTTTTTGGCAGCAAAACCTAACTTTTTTAAAATATTAATTTTAAACGTTATAAATGCAAGGAACAGATGTTAGAAATTTTCTTTTAGTGAAAAATGATATTACACTTTGGATTAAGATTTAATTTTTCTGGTTTTTGAAAATTTGACGCTTTAAAAGACTGAAAAATACATGCTTGAAATTTTACAAAATTAAATTTTGATTTCTGAAGGCCTTTTCCAAATCTAAGAACTAGAATCCAAAGGCCTTTTTTGTTAAAATGCCATAATGCATCCTTAGCATAAATTTAACATAATTTTTGGCACTAAATTAAATCAAGAGCTATAAAGTCTTAGATTTGTGTAAAACATAACTTTTGATGATTTATATTCTTAGATTTATAGTATTGTTTGAACGTTGAATCTCGGTAAATTTATAGATAACATTTTTTAATTTTAAAGAATATGAAAATAGTACTTAAAAAATATTAAACGGAAATTTCTTGCTATTTCGCTTTATAGTATTTGATTTCTTTTGACTTATAAAAACATTGGATTTTAAATTACTTGGCAGATTTCAATATTTTAATTTGCATACTACATGTAAAATCCTTATTTCTTAATTCTAATACAAAGTGTTTGTCACTAGCTCTCCTATGTTAATTTTATAAAAAAAATTAAATATTTTTTGAGGTGCTGTATGGAATACATTAAATTAAATAGTTATTAAAAGTATCATTTACTTCATCATACATTCTAAGTGTTTTAAGAACAGGTTTATTAAATTCCTTTAACCTGCTGAAACACGCGTAATCTTGTAGAAAAATAATTTCAAAAATTGTGAGTTTTTTGAGTTAGCAAATCTGTAAATTTACTTAATATTTCATATGAGATTTAACTTTGGTTAAAATCGCAGTAAATTGAATACATAAAATCGTAAGAATTTTTTTAAAGATTTCAGTAGCTATTAGGTACTGATTTTAATGTGCCGTAACATGATTGCTTACATGCCGTTTATTTATAGTCCAATATCTCTCCCATGCCCTGAGCATTTCCTCTGGAATAGACGACTTTACAAGAGGAAACAACGTTGAAGCATATAGTTTGTCTACGTTAAGAACTCCCTCTGCCACATAGTCTGAGGCCATCTGCTGTTATGGAAATAATAGTGCATTACTGGCAGGGTAGCTTCTCTTCACTAGAGAGCGAACACAATAGACCGTATAAAAAGATTACCTTTCTCTCGCCGACCTGTCATCTAACAAAGACCCCTCAGCCCTACTTGAAATAGTTATACTATAGTCACCGCCACGGTTTCAGACGAATGACTAGGGAAGTAAGCAAATTATATTTTTTTCTTGTTACTCCTAACACTTCTACTGATCGAAGTTTCGATTAAAGTTTGTCATAATTAAGTTCCGTAGAGATTTCTCAGATTTGCTTTGTTTCTGTTGTAAATATCTATTCTGCTACTTTTATTACGCGGCGTCTCAACTCTAGTCCATTCTGTTGTTTTAGATGGTTTTAATTTTGAATCTGGAGATTTAGCATGATTTTTCTCATTTTCAATATCATTATCAGAGCTGTGGTGGCTCAGAGGACAGAACGTTCGCCTTCCCCTTAAATGCGAATTTTCCTTTTCTGGCGAATTTTTTTTTATTAAATTCAATCATATTACATAATTTCATTAAATTATGTCCTAAACAAAACAAGTATTAGCTCTTTTAGAAATAGAATTTCAGAATTGCGACCCAAAACTTTACACCCTTGTGAAACTGAAGAACACTTTTTTGGTTAAATTTCTTCGATTCACGTTTGATCCCTATTCGATGGTAAATGGTTTCTCAACTGTAACTTTAGTTAACTGTCGAACTATAAGGTTCGTCCATCGAAGAAACCTGTTTTTTTTGGCAGGATACGTGAAAGAAATGATTGAATGACCAATGAAATAATTGATACCAGTTTTCTGAAGTATGGGTAAGGGGAGAATTTTTAACTGTGACTTTAGAATTAGAGTCTGCTCGCTAAGTTTCGATCTTATCATCGATATTTGTATCTATAATTATCTAAAATATTGCTTCTAAATCTTCTACAATAATTATTCATCTAAAATAATGCTCAAAGTATAATAATTTTTCAAACAACTTTTTTTAAAATAGAATTAAATAGTTGATTAAAAATAATTAATTAAAACAATTTCAAATACAATAATAATGAATTTTCATTTTTAAGATTTTCTTTAATAAACATTTTAAAGCTCTTTAGCATTTGTCTTGAATATAAAAATGCAATTACTAATCATTTTGCAATTTCAAAATACTTATGCATCAAAAAACACATTTAACCAAATCAGAAAACGCAAGACTGAATCAAGAACTGTTATGAGATAATATAACTTCAATTACCTTGTAGAAAACTATACTTAATCAAATATTGGCTATTTATTTTTATATAGTAATAAATAACAAACATGAATTAAAAGAAACTACTGATGAAGATCGAATCATAGTTTTAGATTTCAATCCTGAAATTGGGTTATAAATGCCAAGAAGTAATTCGAAATATTTGCATCTCTTAATTAAAACTAGTTATTGTTCAATCAGAGTATTATTTACATAAAATTGTCAGTAGGATTGTTTGTAGCAAATTGGCAATCGAAATGGGCTACAGCTGCGGTAGAGCAAAACTCTCTACCTATGGCAACACTTCGCATGTTTTCACCATAAGCATGTGGAAAGTCACAGAAAAAGGAAGTATGTTAGTTTCTGTCTTTATTTTCAAGTAGATAAAAAAAACTTTTAAGTTAGGAAACTATATGGAACTGAAACTTGCATTGAACATAGTTTTTAAAGAAAGCATAGTAGAAATTAAAAAAAAAATGTTTTTGACAATTAAATACGATAAATATTAAGAAAGGGAAAAATATAGTAGTGCATTACTATACAATTGAGAAGAGAAGGAGAGGGAAGGGTAAAGACATGGAAACAGCCTTCTTCCCAGATGGCGTATTCGATCGTTGCGCTCGCAAATAACCAAGTTTTTACCATTCTATACTCTTGGTTTTTCTCCATAGCTGCCGTTGAACAGCGAATATCTGCTTTATGATTGGTCTGTTCAACTTGGCTTTCGAAGTGTTGGTCACTTGACAAAAAACGTTCCAGATGAATCAGAAAACATTTTTTGCGAATAAATCGTTCAGAAACCAGCAGTTCGACCAAATTTGTTTCAGTTGCATAAGGGTTTCATACTCTGTAATTACTGTCTGTCTTATACTCTGTAACATAATTTATTAATTTTTTTAATTTTTGTACTTGAAAATTGATTGTCAGAAAAACTAGATTACAATCAAAGGTGAAGTCACCAAATTAAAGACAATTATTTATATTCTTAATTCTAATTATGAAAGGTGAGAGTGCTATCACTATTATAATTATTTTTAATGTTAGATCAGTAAAAAGGTAAACACTAAAACATCAAGAGTCTAAAGAAAACATTTCACCCACGATGTTCGTTTATCATAAAGTAAAAAATAATAAGTTCAAAAAAAGAAGTTGAAAAAGTGAACTTAAAGGTTGAAATACATTTCAGAAATTAAAAAACTTAATTTGCAAATATTTATCAACACCTTTTTCATCTTTGAAAATTAAATTTGAATAAAACTAGTGGTGAAAGAAAATAATTTCTAAAGTATTGCACCAAGGATAAAATAAAAAATTACACTTTATTATACAGATTTTCTTCCATTAAAAATTTCACGTCAATTCTCCACAATTGCTTATTACAACTTTTTGGGAGGGCTTTCCACTTTTGCTGCCACATTTCTAAATGAAAAAAAAAAATATAAGGTGAACATGAAAAAATTATTATCTAACAAAGCATTAAAGAGTAAGACAACGCAGCAGCATTGATAATTACCTCCATTCTTTTCACGATTTCCATTCCACTGATCACCTGACCGAACACAACATGGAAGCCATCCAACCTTTAAGAAAAGTTGTATGAATAGATTGAGCTGCAGTTTGCAACAAAATTTCAAGAAAGTTAAAAAAAATCATGTTGTTGAATATTTAACAAGGTTTAAAATAAGCAAACAAGAAAAACCCTATATGTTACATCAAACTTCTAGGGGAGACAGTGCTGTAGTTAGGGGGGGGGGTATACCATTCCAAGAGATATTTGGTTTGATGTAGTGAAAAAAAATTTAAATGTTTGTTGCGTGCAGCCAGTTCCAAATTTATCTTAAAGGTAAACATCCACCCAATGTTTTCATAGCAGGTCCATATAAAAGGGAAACAAGTACCAGGCGTTCACAAACACATTTAATAAGGAAGATACAAAGACAATCAAAATAACAGACAAAACTCTGAGAGGTCTTCCTTCTCTAAAATCATAAAGCCATCCGCCCGTTCAAGGTTAACACCAACACATATATGCCTAACTCAGAGTGAAAAATAAAGACACTTTCCACAATATTTGAAAAAGATTTTGAACCAGTTTTTTTACTTTTACATTTTCTATTTATTTATTTTTTTTTTTTAATTTTTTTTACGAAGTGAAATATTTTTTGCTCAGTCTGGGGAAAATCATCTTTATTTTGACCAAAGTAAAAATTTTTACTATCCAGATTTTTAAAAAACAAGTGAATATTCAAATGTGAATAGTGCAATTTTCAGACTCACTTGCAATCACACACAATGAGAATAATCCTGTAAAAGAATGTCATTTCAGAAATGTAAACTGTGCTTCAAATTTGTGACGTAGTTGAAAAGCTAAGTAATTAGAGTAAATATATAAATTGGATTTACCAGTATTTAATAAGAACAAAATCTTTATATGAAGTTGCTTTTAACTAACTTCATGTAGTTTATAAATTTGTGAATATTAAATTATATTTCTTTATAACTCTGGTAAGCAAAGGAATCAGTTTAAGAGCAAATAATTATGTTCATGCAATAAAAAAAAAAAAGAGGAGCTCATAGAAATACCTTATTTTATATTTGAATAAAGACACTTTAAAATTAGTAACAAAACAAATCTGTATCCCTTTTTGGGTACATTTCCCCCTTCTAGCTATTAAAGCAGCGTGTTTAACAAATAAATAGTCAAAGTGCTTTTCAAGTGCTAATGAAGAATTGTGTACTCACTCAATTAGCAAAATTCCTTTATTAATAGCTTTTTTGATGAATGCATCAAAGATAAAAATAATGCTTATTAGTAGCAAATCCCCTTTTATTAAAAAAAAAATAAATGTCTTTTTTTAGAATTAAAACTGGTCAATTTAAATAGATCAGTATTTTGACAAATAATATGACACAGGAACCCACACCCAGAAATGCCATTACGTCTTTAGTGGTATTTATTCTAGGGTTGTTATATGATTATGTAAGAGAGAAATGGTAGTACTTTTGATAACTTTATACATAAATGAAACAAATTAATTTACATAATTGTAATAAAACACATTTTTTCTGAAGCTGACGTTTTTACATTGTTGACATTTTTTGTCACTAATTTCACTTGATGATACTCTGATTTTGTCACTATTTTCACTTGATGACAACACGAAAGCATCCATTTGCCAAAATGAAGATTAGATTTTTCTCTTCTCTAAAAGCATTTTTCATGAAAATATGAACATGCAACTTATCTTCCTATTGCTCCAAATACTTCATACATAATGGAACATGCTTCTACAGTATATACATTTTTCTACAATAAAAATGTGTTTGATATCATTTGCAAATAACTGCCTTTCTGTATAATTATGTACTGCAATCTGCAAATGAGAGCCGTGATGGCTCAGGGGATAGAACGTTCGCTTTCCAATGAAGTGAACTGGATTCAATTCCCCAGGGATGGCTGGTCGAAACGAATCCGCATCCGGCTTACACAGGGGTTGAAAAAACACGGGGATTTTTGAAAAAATTCAACCCGCCCAGGTTTTATTGAAAAAATCCGGGAAAAATTGGGTTTTATTTGAAAAAACCCGGGAAATATTGGGTTTTTTCATTTAGTGCTCATAAACTTTAAAATTTTACTGTGAAAATATTTTTATTCATTAAATAGTGTTGTATAAGCTTAAAAATAGAAATAAATCCAAAAAGTTTATATTAAATATATATAATAAAATTAAAATAAGTTTAAGTACTGCACTATCATTAATACATGTTTGAATCTTTATTGTTAAATAAATGACGTTTCACAATTTTTAACTATAAAATATAAATGCAACAGTAATATAAAAGGAACAAGTTTATTAATCTNAACTGTAGTCCGTGGATCGAGATTCAGACAGAAAGTAAAAGTTTATTAACAAAAAGCAAACAAACACATACAAATTTAAAAAGAACGCCATCTGGCGGTATAAAAAGAAAAAGACTTCGTAGCTATCCTTCCCAGGGAATGACAACAATATGTCTATAATTTTTCTTTGTTTTATTCTTCATTTTGAACTTATATATATATATATATTCTGGAAGCTCGGAATTTTTTCCATTCTTTTTTGGTCATAATTTTCCACTATTTTTTGATGAAAATTGTTGAATAACAATGTCAAGCATCATTGATTTTGGAAAGTATTCAGAATTGGAAATTTAGAATGCCATAACACCAGGCAGAAATTCTGGACGATACTTAGAAAGACAGTTTTCTGCTAATTGCTCTTGTTCATAATTTAAAAATTGTCCCCTTGTTTTGGGATCCAGGATGCATGTGCTAATAAATTAGGTAGCTGAACAGCTTGATGAAATCTTTTTACAAAATGCTTATGGGGTTCTAATTCATCATACATAAGTTAATTCATATTTCAACAGCTTCAGAAACAATTGATATCTGTTTTTTCAAATTGATAGTTAATTGGTAAAGCCCAAAATTATTTAATATTTTTGACATATTATTATTTGATTCATTTTGATGTTCAAGAGCAATCTCTTGATATTTATTGTAATTTTTGGCAAAAGTTTTTACACACTCACAATATGAACTCCACCAAGTATCATTTGGCGATTGGGGCATCAAGCAGTTTTTTTTCATTTGCCGATCATGTGCTTGATGCACATTTCTAAATTATTTGTTAACTTCCACGATGTATCCAATGATAGTATTAGGAGATACTTCTTTTTCAACCAAATTTAAAAAAACCAATTTGTGAAAAAACCCATCAAGTGGGTTTTTTCAAGGTGGGCCCACTTGGCGAACCCTGGGCTTACACTAACCACAGTGCCGACGTGAAATATCCTCAGTGGTAGAGCGATCACGAGTAACAGTTTCTTTGCCGTCAGGCTAGCCATGGGAGGTTCTCGTAGTCTTCCTCTCCATGTAATGCAAATGTGGATTAGTTCCATCAAAAAGTCCACCATAAAGGCAAATTTCTCCCAATACTTGATACAGGAGTTCCCTTGTCTTCTGGATTGGGTTCAAAATTACAAGGCTACAGAGTTGAACAACAGTAGTCGTAAACCCAAAAAATTGGGTCGGCTGTTCAACAGGATTATAAAAAAAATCTGCTAATTAAAATTTTCGTTATGTGTTACACACTATTTGATTCACAACTTCACATGCATTTTTGGATGACATGAAAGAAGTAACAAATTTAGACGAGGGAGTACTTTAGGCATTAAATATTATTGGGGGAAAAAACGGTTTGTTAAGTTGAAAGTAATTAGTTTCCAAACTTGGTGTAAAGTGTTATAAAAATTTTTCAAAAGCCATTAAAATATTATTAAAATAAAACAACATTTTCACACTTCCATTTTAATATTCGATTACCCAAATCAAAAACTTAAATGCAATGTAGAAAAATAAAAGAAAATATAATTCACCAACCATTCAGTTTTTGCAGTTGTGAGAAAAAATTGAGAACCATTGGAGTTTGGTCCTGAATTTGCCATTGATAGAAGCCCTGAAAATAAGAGAGAGTAAAACAATGTATAAATTAATATGGATGAATATAAATTAAATATAACACATACAGTAATACATAACTGGAGGAAGAATTTCTCAAATATTCGTGTATTTATTTTGATTCTTAAGTGTTAAATGTAAAGTTGTTTCAATATACTAGTTCAATAGACTGTTACAAACAGGGGTGTAGTAGAGCTGAAACACACCTGTATACAAGGTATCTGCTACATTTTAGATTTTCAAATTCATGACTAATTCCAAGAATTTTTCATTGCTTAATGAAGTTACTATTTTCTCAGACAAAAGCACAACAATAAAAGTAAAAAAGCATTATAATAATATTAATTGAAATGATAGGTATAACCAAAACTGCTATACTCTGCATCTTCACATTTATACTCACATCTCCACATATCACCTTACACTAATTGCAAGGTGATAAAAATTTTAGAAAAGAATAATGTAATTAATTAAAGAAAAACTATTAAAAAAGAAGATTGAATTTTAAAACAGTTTTTATTTTTGTCATGTTTGAACAATTTTGTTTTACTATTGTATTAACTTTCAGAATTAGAAAAAAAATATCTGCAATACGTGAACAGAAACTTGGCTTATTCAAAATCTTGAATAGAATCCTACATTTTTTATTTAACAGCAATTTGAATTTTCCAGTGAAAAAAATCTAAACTTCCCCTACAGAGTGTTGCAGTTTGGTTAAGAAACAAAACTGTTATTGTAAAATGGAAACAAAGTACAAATTACTTAAGGAGACACTTCGAGAAATATAGTTCAGATAAAGGAAAATAAAATCAGTAGTAGTACTGATATTGAAAATAAAATCAGAACTGATTTGATAAATTGAAAATCCTATTTAATGACACCAACCCTATTGGGAAGGAGCAGAGTTCAATGTCATTAAATGCATCTTTCAAAAACATTAAACACATGATATATTTGGATTCCATATCGAATGCAATATCATGCAAGATATTTGATTGTGCCCATACTATTTAGACAACCTGTACATAAAAATGTTATTTAATATTTCCCAGAATATCTTGTAAAATTTTTCTTGTAATAAACAGAGCTATTTTTTGTTGGCACACATATTAACATTAAACACACATTATCATTAAAATGAAAGATAAAATGGGTATTTTATAACTTAATCTTTTTGTAAACAATAAAATAAACTTTGATATGTTTAAATGAATAAAGTTTAAGGACCATAGTTCGATTGCTTTAAATTTAATTACTGAACAAAGAAACTAAACCGTTTCCAAGTAAAGATTAAATATGTAAAGCGTTGTGGCATAGCTAAAAAATTTACAAAATAAAGCTCTTCTTCGATGTGTGTGTTCTCACGCACGCACACAGACATCAGAAAATTAAGGGCCATTAAAGAAAATATAAATGTTCATATTCTTTTTCTTTTCGGTAACTGCACAGAGAACTTAAACCTATAGAAAGCTTTAAATTGTTTTGCAACTGAAGATACGAATTTGGCTTAAGTTTGAAAATGTGTTATCCTCAACAGATTTAGAAATCAATCAGATTTGAAATGAACTTGGGGGGGATAAATAGCATCCTGTGGAATTAGTAAATTCAATAAGCAAATATGATGGGAATTAATAATTAATTCACTGTAATTTTATTGTTTATACGTAACTGTTTTGTGTAGTTTGTTTCCCTGAAATTGTGCTGTCAATAAAATTATAAAATGAAAATTTTGATACATCAATGCAATTTAAAATTGGAACTATCAACCTGAATATGGAATAATTACTTCATCTCTGTACAGTAAAAATACTAAGCATAAAGAGGAAAAACCCTAAGAACACTTTTACGAAAGACATACACCAGAAAATCATATTTTTTCTCAGTTTTTAAAGGTTTTCTGCAGTTGCATGGAGAGAGGCTAGAAAATCAGAGTCTCACTGCCTTGTTATAAACCTGTCTTTTAGAGTAAACAAGTTTTGAAAAACTGAGTGAGAACACATATTTTGGAAGACAGATATTTAAACCACTGATTACCTGGTCCCGTGTGCTTCAGAGTGAAATTTTCATCTTCAAACTTTTTACCATAAATAGAACGCCCACCTGTTCCATTATGGTTTGTGAAATCTCCGCCTTGGCACATCTGTGGCAATAGTTAAGGAACACAAATAAATAAATGTATTTAACAATTAGTAATGAAGAAGTTCATTGGATAACTAAAGAATATTTATAGAATTGAAACTTCTAAAGCAATTGAAAAAATTCAGAGCTTAAGTCTTGTTTTGTAAAATAAAATGATTTTGATATAACTGAAGAAACCAGTTCAGAATATATTTTGATCAGACATGCTTTTTAAAATAAGAAGGATACAAATCCAGGTATAATACGATGAAAGGAGCTTCCTTTAAAACCAAATCCTTTTTCATGAGTACACAAACAGCGGAAGTTTTCTGAAAAAAATAAGAATTATAAACAATTTTGTTATAAAGAATGATATGAGTGACATTCAAATTTTCTATTTTCTTAACCGTTTCCCTGATTATCCTGAGTTAACTCGGGTATGTACATATTGCAATTATTTATTATCCCAAGAAAACTCGGCAAGACATTCAAATTTTCTATTTTCTTCACCGTTTCCCTGATTATCCTGAGTTAACTCGGGTATGTACATATTGCAATTATTTATTATCCCAAGAAAACTCGGCAAGACATTCAAATTTTCTATTTTCTTCACCGTTTCCCTGATTATCCTGAGTTAACTCGGGTATGTACATATTGCAATTATTTATTATCCCAAGAAAACTCGGCAAGACATTCAAATTTTCTATTTTCTTCACCGTTTCCCTGATTATCCTGAGTTAACTCGGGTATGTACATATTGCAATTATTTATTATCCCAAGAAAACTCGGGCGTAGCAGAATTTGTCAGTTTGTTTTATTTCATCACTGTTTTTACTCGGCTGGAAGCAAACAAAACATAATCTGCTGTGTTTGGAAATATGCCAAATTTTGTTTGAGAGTTTTGTTGTTGGATTGTGGGACTGTACACTTTGCACGATTGCATATACTATGGTTACTGAATTTACATAGAAAAAAAAAAGAATAAATAAAAATGGTGTATCACTTCACTAGTGTTTGGAAAGTATCACGTTGTGTTGTTCCTTGTTTTAAAAACTATCATACAAAGACTAATATTTAATTTTTTTTCATTTGCCCGAGATAATTCGGGATAGTAAACTGATGGTAAATTAAAAAATTTTTACGCATAAAAATTTTTTAAAATTTAACTTAAAACTCGTATATTATGTTTTGGTTTAGTTCCTTGTAGTTATTAATGAAATAAAAAAATAGATAAATGTTTTTTTTTTCTTTAAAAAAAAAAATCGGTAAGGGTTAAAAAAAAAGAGTACTTTTAAATGGGGACTTGAAACTACTTAAGCAGTTAAAAATCACAAATATTCAGGATGAAAAATTATGCAATTGCTAGACTTTGTATTTTCCTGCAAAAACATTTTTAAAATTGAAATTGTAGCTATAACCAGAAATGAGGCATTGCTTTTAATTAGAATTTCGTGTCTACTGCATTATTGTAACAGTTATACTTAAAAATATTTATTACTGTTACTAAAAATTTTTACAATGTCTGAAAATATATATAATTTATTTACAGAAATCGAAAATTATAAATTTAATGATTGAATACACAATTAAAGATTTATATAGGCACAATTCTACAAATACAAATGCATATTTGAGGCTGCAGTAAAGTTAAAAAACAAAATTCAATGTTTTTTTTTTAATAGAGTAAATTCCATTAAGAGAAATAAAAATTTTTACAGAATTAATATTAGGTAACTCATAGTAATACTATTGTTTCAGAAGAAAAAGGTGTACTAGTTTTGCAACGTTACCTCTTTATTTGTACACATATTCCATAACCTTAAGACCTTTCATTTAGTGATAGTAAAAGTCAATAAAGGAATTCTAACATTAAGATTGTAATTTTAAAATAAAATTGCAGGAATATGACTCAAAGATACAACCTTGCTTTAAAGAAGCTGAATTTTTAATTTTTCATAAGTATGAAAAAACCTTTAGTGCAGAAATTAACAGATTTATGAAATTGAAAAAGAAAAAAATACCACTCATGGGAGTAGCTGATTAACAAAGGCACATTTCCTCATCAAAGTTAGGGTAGTGTGGGACAAACAACAGGTGCAAAATATGCTGGAGGGCACTTTCGAGTTGATTGAGTGCATTTTTAATTTTACCTTGAGCATGACTTTCCAGACATAGAAAATATCCCGACTTTTTCGGTTTTTCAGAGATTTCCTAGTTAATTGCTATCATGGAAGTTTTTTTAAAAATTAGTTTATTCTTAACGTAAAATAAAATTTTACATATATTTTCCTCACATTGTTCACTGGATAAAATTTCTCTTTTCAAATAATAATAATAAAAAAAACTTTTGAGTATATATTTAAATATTAAACTAAAAAATATTTTCTGCAATAATAAATAGTTTTAAAAGAGAGATTGATTTTTTAAAAATATAAATCAAATAATTTTAACTGCACTTTAAATCCACTGGTTTAAATCACGCTAACCCTATTTGTATGAAGGCTAAAAATTGAAATATCAACAGAATTTTTTAAAAAAAGTGTCTATGCATTCAATAGCTTACTCACCAGCTGTAAGAGGGACAATGTCTTTACGCAACATGATTTGTACCCGGCCAATGTCTTCACTGTCTATTGCTATGTCAAAGTAGACTGTTGGATTCGATTTACGCTTCTTTTTCTCTGGTTCCTCTTCCTAAATAACATGAATATTTTCATCAGTACAGCAAATACAAAATATCTAAAAAGCTCTCAAAATATGTTAAATATCTAAAGAGATACAATAATATGGGAGATGTAAAAAATATATAGATACATAATAATTACACTTGATGAAATTGAAGATTCCTAGAGTAATGAATAAATAATAAAGTGGAGTCCTAATTATTTGAGGTGAGTGAACTAGACAAATCACAAGCTACTATATAAAATTTTAATTATTAAATTCATAAAATTTATTTAATAAATAAATGAAAGCAAGTTTTAAATTTCGGAGTTAGTAAATGCATATGAATAAATACACTTTCAATTCCAGTACTACCAAATATCAACAAGTTAATTATAACGTAAAATAACATAGCACTGTATTCCTGCCAACACTTATAGGAAAAATACATTCATTTTATACCATGTTTAAAAAAAATACACCTTTTTAATTTGAGAAGCAGCATTGAATGACAATACACTCACTTTATTGCCTTTATAGAGAAAATACACCCTTTTTATTTAGGAATCAGCACCTATTTATTTGCATGCATAGAGAAAACACACCTCTTTTAATTTAGGAATCAGGACTTATTTAATTGCATGTATAGAGAAAATACGCCCCTTTTATTTGAGAAGCATTTTACTGCAAATGTAAGAAAAATACATCCACTTATTTTTTTACTATATTGTTGTTTTGTTTTACTGCAGTAAAAAATGTGTTTTAGGTATTCAACAAGATTTATCAAACGTACAACATAATTAAGATACACACCATTGAACAAAATCGGTTAAATTTTGACGCATTGAAAATTCAAAGAGTTCCTTTTCTTTCACTTAAAATCTTGCAATCAATAATTATTTTTCCCTAACTTTATTGTTTAATAGATAAAAGTTTATTACGTTATAAAATATTTTTGAACTCTTCTTTCAATTAGGTACAGATTCTACTAATATTCAAAAACCAATGATAATCTAGCGAAAATTTTAATGCTGAAACTTTCCTTGGAAACATAACTATATATATCTAGTTATTATTTTAAGATAATTATCAGATCTCAAAGCAAATTCAAATTATTATTTTAAAATAATTATTAGATTAAAAAAAAAATTATTACTTTAATTTAATTATCAGATTAAAGCTCTGCTGCAGAAACTGGTGGTTAGCCAAGGGGTTAATAGCTCCCCAGCAGCCTTTCAAAAGTTGGATGCTTTTACTTTCCAGCACTCATCAATTTAAAGCTAATATCATGGTAAATTTTTTTCTTCTAAGAACCAGGTTCGAATCCTGGCGATGGCTGATCGATACGAATTTTGCATCCGGGTGGCACCGACCACAGGGTTGCAATGAAATATCCTCGGTGGTAGACGGATCATGGGTTAGAGTCTCTTCGTCATCAGACTAACCGTGAGAGGTTCGCGTGGTCTTCCTCTCCATGTAACGCAAATGTGGGTTAGTTCATCAAAAAGTTCTCCAGGAAGGCACATCTCTCCCAATACAGTACACTCTCGATTATCCGTGCTCGGATTATTCGGTTTGTGGATCATCCGTGCTCATTCCGGAGTATCACAGAAAATTTAAAGCGAAACAATTTCAAGATTAAAAAATTTTGATTCATGAAGTCATAACACTACCAAAGTTTTGGAAGCAATATTCCTCATTGGATGGCTGTAAATGAAATATCAACAGCATGGTCAAAGGTAAAATCTTCTACGTTATCACGATCGTGGAGAAAGATCATACTGCTTGATGAACAATCTTTTTCAGATATTCAAGAAGAATATGATAACAGTATTCTCGAACACGCAAAAGAAATTCGAAATTCTTAATGAAGAAAATTTAGAAGATGGGTTTCAAAGTGTGAGCCTGGCTTCCAGTATTTGACAGATGAAGACATCGTCATGTTATTAAATCAAATAATGATGATAGTAACTGATGTAGAAGATGTAGTAAATGAGGGGGGAAATACGATTTCTGTTGCTCTACGATCTGTGGAAACTTTATTAGATTATATGGGAGGATTTGATTACGGTGACATTACTAGGGTTCGTAAAAATATGTGTCCATATATGGCGCATTACACATCTTTTTAAACAGCAAACGTTAAAAGGAAAATTCCTAGTTTGATGTTATACAGCATGCAAATGTCAGTATTTTTTATTTGTACTGATATTAATTTTTTCTTTAATAAAAAGGAATTTTCGTATTATCCGTGTTTTTCGATTGTCCGTGCGACCTGTCCCGGTGATTAACCCGGATAATCGGGAGTGCACTGTACTTGATACAGGACTTCCCTCATCTTCTGGATTGGGTTCAAAATTACAAGGCTACGTAGTTGAATATTAGTCATAAGCCCACAAATTAAGTCGGCTGTTTGATGACGGTTATAATATAAAATGTTTTTTAAAGTACAATTTTTTTCTTCTAAATTTAATTATTTTTACAAGTCACAAAGGATTTTTTTTACTCATAAATTATTTCTTTAGATACTTACACAGCACTAGAATGTCTCTTTCTAAGTATCAACCCTGAATGGAGTTCAGGAGAAAACTGATAGCGTTCCAAAACAGAAAAGTTTTCAATGTTATTCAACAGGAAAACGTTTAGCAGTTTTATACACTTTTCAAAACAGGCAGGAAAAAACAGTTTTTATTTTCCTACAAAAATTCATGACATAACTATTGCCAAAAAACACATTTTGTGCAAATTTGCAACTCGACAGTTAAAGGATTAAGCTACAAGCTGAAGGTGAAAAAATATTTTTCAGAGGATAAGATAAAATTATAGATTGGAAAGATTAATTAAATATTTGGAAAAAAAATATTTCTATAAGAAAATAACAAAAAATAGTGCTCAGTCAGGTATATAGGTGGTCAGTGATTCCACTTATGTTGTATAGCAGAAAGGGTGATGCAAAAAAAAAGTTCTGATACATCCCTCCAGTTCCCTAATTCTCCAACATAAAAAGGTAGAAAAAAAAATAGTGTGTGAGATGATTTACTTCAGCAAATTTAAACTTAATCATTTTTTTGTTGTTGCTTTAACAGCAGTAGGAGAAAAAAAATTGAGTGCTTAATTTTTTTTAAAATTCTTTGTTTAATTTTTATTACTTAAAAATTTATTACATTAGTTATAACAAATTATTTTATTAGTTTCTCGTAATCACAAAATATTACATTTTAAATATAAGAATTTCTATTTTAAAGGTAAGTACATTTTTAAAACAGGAATTTGTATTACTTTTAATAGGAACCTGCTTTTATTAAAAAAAAAAAAAAAAAAACCTGATATTTGGAAGTTTTGGATTCTAAGGACACATAGTCTACAAAGTCCTGCAGAATCGCTGTCAGTAATTGGAAACTTTATATACATTGTTAGTACATTTTGAACATTTATTACTTCATTTTCATCAAGTTTTCTTTTATTTTCTCCATCAGGCTCATCTAGTGTAAGTGTTTCTCCTGCATGTTCTTTCAACCAAGCATCATCAGACCACACTATAAAAAGAGGGGAGGGGGGATAAACAAGACTTCAAATTATTAACTCAAAATAAATTCTTCAAAAATATATATATATTTACAATTATTCACATATATTGTATTAGTACTCACTATTGCAAAATCAAGCATTTACATTTTGTTTGTGCGGCATTGGGTTTCCAATTTTGCCTATTTAGGTACAGTTTTATCATTCTTTACTAAGGGTTAGGAACAAACACACACAGAAGTTTAATTTAAATTACACTGCTATTGTTTTTCAAATTAGTCTGTTCATTAACTGACTTTCTGCTTCTTCATAAAATTTGAAAAAGTTAAAATTAGTTTTTGAATGAGTTATTTTGAATCTGCGATGCAGTTTAAAAATTTCAAAATCTATTAGGTACATTCAGATACATACATTCTTAATACATTTCAGAATCTAAAAAAAGATATTATTTATTTTAAATTATTCAAAACAATGTTTTGAACATATTTGCAAAGCATAGCAATTTTTTTGTAAGGAACACAATCACTTTTTATTGAATATGCAAGGAAACTCCCTTTCATATAGAAAATATTTATCAAATATCCAGGTTAGTTAGAAACAAATATCCTAAGTAGATTTTACAATAAATAGGCACACTTATATTAATAAAATGTATTAGAATTTTTCCTCAGAAAAACAATTTATTTAAAAATAACACTGAACATTCAAAATGCAATTCCGTTTATGAAGAGGTTCACAACAGTAATATAGCCATCCTAGAACATACTTGTCATCAAGAACAAAAATAAATGTATACATCAAGCCTAATTTTAAAAATTATCACCAGCTTACAAGGGAAACTAGGGAAGTGTGACTCGCCAATTTTGAAATAAACTAGTGGGATGTATGCCTTATGAGGAATAATTTTAGGGGGAAACATTCGTTTCGGCCCATAGAAGGTCCTGTGAGAGATAAAAAATAATTCAATATATAGAGAAATCGGTATTTTATTACTTCAATGCAGACTATTAGTTATTGTAATTGTCTCATACTCCAATTAATTTTGTGGTACTTTGACGTACTATATAATGCATGTTTATCGTCAAAATTGATTTCGAAAATTTTATATATCTGTAGTTTTTCAGAAAAACCTGTATTTTAAAAAAAAATTGACATCAAATTTTCTTTTTTTTCTTTTCTTCGAAAAAGTTTCCAAATTAATTGGAGTATGTAATTGCAAATCAATTAATTAAGAAATAAATAATTAACAATTAATTAATAATTAATTTTCTGATTTGTTTATTAATTAGAAAACTAATTAATTATCCAATTAATTACAAATTAATTGGATTATGAAACAATTACAATAACTAATAGTCTACACTAAAGTAATAAAATACCGATTTTTCTATATATTGAATTATTTTTTATCTCTCACAGGACCTTCTAAGGGCTGAAACGAATGTTAAATAATTTATCAATTACCAAATTAATTAATTATCCAATTAATTAGATTATGAGACAATTACAGTAACTAATAGTCTGCATCGAAATAATAAAATACCGATTTTTCTATATATTGAATTATTTTTTATCTCTCACAGGACCTTCTACGGGCCGAAACAAATGTTGCCCCCTAAAATTATTCCTCATAAAGCATACATCCCACTAGTTTATTTCAAAATTGGCGAGTCACACTTCCCTAGTTTCCCTTGTTAGTGAATAGTATTGCTTAACAAATATTACCGACCCCTAATCAAAATTAAACAAAAAGTAAATCTCTAAACAAAATTTGAAACACAAGAAAAAGTTTTTTGAGCAAACTTCTTATAATCTGATTATAAGAAAACCTAACAAAATTGAGATGCATCAAAGTGTCATTTGTTGAATAAACAATCCTAATAGATTTTGGATTTAAGTCTTTTAATTTTCTCGAAATCTGCGGTTGTACATGTTATTTTGTTAAAGTTCTATACGATTTGAGATAGAATACAAACAAATTACTTTCTAAATTCAATTTTATTTATTTATTTTATAATTTTAAAGAATAGGATACATTTACAGAAATAATGAAATATAACTTTCCTTCCTTATTCTTCGATAGGACAACAATTTTTTCCCTATCCATAAAAAGTTTTTAGCAATGTCAATTAATTTTAATAAATTAAATAATAGGAAAGTAAGCTTGTTTTGGGACAAAAAAAAACAGGCAAAAATAAATAGTATGTTCCCCTTATTTTAAAATTTTACATTGAAATGAAAATGCTAAATATTAATTAAGAGTATAATATTAATAACATACAAAAAAGTAATTTGAAAAATACAAAAAGATAATACCTGCTCTTGTAGATCCTTCCTTTATTCTCATTGGTTTGGCAATATTCACTCTAATAGTACGGCCAAATAACTCAGAATCATTCTAATAATATACAATTTTATTAGTAAATACATTAGAATTTTAATGAAAAAACAATAGCAATATGGATGAAAAAAACAAGAATAAATGCACACACAGTCAAACTCGATTATAATAAGTACAAAGCGGGCACAATATTTGCTGCTTACAACCAAATGCTTGTAAAAAACTAGTGCATGAAAAATGATAAAAGTTAATACGCAATTGGCAAACAATACTACTCAATAGTAATACAGTACTTGCCTTATTTTTTATTTCTGTATAGTAAAAAAGAAGAATAATCTCATTGCTGCGTTATTGCTCTCCGAATACGACTCGTATCCCAAAAAACATCATCAACATAAAAAAGGATAGCGTCAACCCAAAAAACATCAAATGGAAATGTTTTTTAAAAAAAGGTTAGTCGAGCAAGAGAGGCAGAATTAAGAAAATATAATTGAGGTTTGCTTGTTTAACACGTTAACTGCGGCACGCACTTACAGTGAAATCTCACTAAAAAAGAGGTATGTTCATGCAGAGAAAGTACTGTATATTTCTGAATGTAGATCAAGAATTTTTTGAAATGTTTGAAGATAAAATGGAGGCTTCAGATTATAAACAGATTCCTTAGCTGGCTAAAATTCCAGGCAAACATAGTCGACAAAAATACTTTTCTGTTAGCAAAGCATAAATCATAATTTGATAAATAAAATGAAATAAAATTGCACTGATAAAATTGCATACATTTATATCATTCTAATAGAAATCTAAACAATTTTATTAGTAAATACATAAGAATTTTAATGACAGCAAATACAAAATACATAACTGTTAAAAATAAAACACCAATGAATAAATATTTAAAAGGGAATGCATCAAAATGACAATAGGAAAGCAATTTTTTTGTAATAAGAATTTTTTTCTGCTCATTTTTCCACATAAAGCAACATGACGAACACGAAAAGTTACATTTAACACTTAAAGAAACATTAATGTGAAGAATACCAGATAAAAAGCACTCTAGTTTTTTTTAAAAAAAAACATTAGGTATGGGAATACAGTTCTTTTCATACTTCTTTTAAACCTGCAAAAAAATAAAAAATAGCACTGCACTGTTTCGTAATTTTGCAACAGGGCCACAAGTTTGATTAGAGTTTTATGATTATTCAGTTTAACTAAATTATTTGTTAGTTTTTTAGCAGAAGTAATCTTAATAAAATTGAAATGCTGTAAACCAAAATGATGACTTCCAAAAGTTTAGGGAAGGGGTCAAGTTTGAAAAAGAAATTTCCTTGACCTGTTTCAGCTCCACAAGAATTATAGAGAAAGCAAGTTTTTTTCATGCTCAAAGCCAAAACAAGTTTTTTCTCATGTGAAAGCTACTAAAAATACTAAGTGCAAAATATATTTATCTAAATGACATATTCTGTTGATAACAGAATATCTCCTGAAATAGAAAACAGACTCAATCTTGCAAATAGGGTTGAGAAGATTTATTAAATCTAGGTTTCTTTCCAGAAAAACAAAGTTCTTAATTTACAAAACTCTCAACAGGTCGGTCTTGACATATACTTCTGAAGCTTGGACAAGGACAAAACTGGAGGAAAATTGTATCACAATATTTGAGAGAAAGATTTCGCAGAGTATGCTTGGTGGTGTAAATGAAAACAATTGTTGGAGAAGGAGATTTAACTTTGAACTGTACAAGAGAGTTATAAACAATCTGATATTATTAAATACATAAAAATAAATGGAATGCATTGAATGGCCCACGTGATTCGAATGAGTGATGACAATACAATAAAAAAAGATATTGCCTTTTAGATCAATATGAACAAGAAAGCAGGAAAGGCCGAGGTTGAGATGTGCTGATTCGGTGGAGTCTGATTTTCTTACAATTAATGAAAAGAATTGAAGATCAAAGATAAATTGGATGGATTAATCTTCAGAGGAAGGCCTTGGCCCACATTGGGCTGTTTGGCCAACTATGATGTTGAAATAACATATTCTGAAATTAGGAATTTCTTTTTAATAGTAAAAAATATTAAAAAAAATATGTTTCTTACCATATTGTCAATGGCAGCAGCAGCTTCCTAAAAAACAAAATATGTATCAATGCTACTTTATTCATTCAACACAGCCATAACAAAGGAATGGAGACATACACAAAGAGAATATAATTATTAAATAGCGTTGCTAACTTATGATACATGACAAGCATATTCTTCAAGAGAATGGAATAATATTTCGCAGAAATGTTTTTTATAAGGTGTGATCGCAAAATCAATATTTAATTGATATTGGGGGCAAGAAAAACAATGTAGTTGATGTACAGAGACTGATTTTCATTTGTTTTTAATATTTTATTATACTTGTTTTAATGCATTTACTGTTATTGTTACGAATTTTATACAACTGTTTTATTTTTACTCAATTTTAGGGAATTTTCTAAAATGTAGGAAAACCAGGAGACCAAGAGAAACTGACAAAATCCAGTAGTCTACTAGAAAATCCTGTAGAGTTGGCAGCTATGTTAATATTAATGCTTTTTAATTACTATTATGAAATAAAAAATCCTGCAAATTTATTTATTATGGTTTGCTTGAATCTTCTACAGTAAGACTACATCTCTGCCTATGAATATACTTTTTTATACTAAAGATACTATTTTAAATCATTTCTAAAATTTTTTACTGTAAGAATCATATTTCAAAGAAAAATGTTGGTCTGCTGTCACTGGAAGCTTTGTCAACCTAACTATAACCATGAACTCTGATGGAAGTACTTAACACATTTCTTGGGAGCACAGCTTATAATGTTATTTACACACTTAATTCTGTTCTCTCAAACAATATCCTAGTCAAGAGACTATATATTGCTTACATAAATTATTAACTGCACAACTGCACAAAAAAAAATTCATTATAAAACTAAGTAATTTTTCTTTGCAATATTTTTTAATTAATGAATATTTAACAATTACAGTTGTTTAGGAAATTTATACTTTTTGGACATACTGTTGGGATCAATAAAAACTATAATAATCAATAAAAACATACACAAAAAAAGTGTAAAAAAACTTTTTAAAATAGATTTAAGAAAATTAAATATAAAAAATGTATTTTCCTATCCTGAATAAAATTTACTAACTATCTATTCCTCCTCTGCAAAAAAAAATTACTGCTGCGGCTTTGACAAAAACATTTTTGATTTTTTAAAAGCAATAAAACACTTTAATACAAGAAAACCTTGTTTGGAAAAGTATTAAAAAAATGAATGTCTTATAAAGTAAGTGATATATCTTTAAAATAAAATATTATTAACCTCTATCTTGCTTTGGTACAAGAATTTTAAAACTACCTGGTCCATATCATTTTAAAATATAATTTAAATAAAGGAAGAGTTAAGTAAGTATCAACAATAATACATTAAAAAGTTAACATTTTCTTCAATTCAAAATTTGAGTTACTTTAAAACAGGATATATTTTACTTTCTTCAGTTATAATTATGAATGATTTGATAATTATATAATAAAATTTAGATAATAAGATTTAATAAAATAAATAATAAAAAAAGAATACAAATTTTTAAAAAATTAAGTGCATTTTAAATAGTTCAATGATTTTGGTGTTACAAGAAATTGTGCTTTATTTTTAGCTCTACTAAAAATTAATTATAATAAAAATTATGAGATAAGAAAATCAATGGGTGAAAATTTAACTTTTGAGCCAACAAAATAAAAATATGTAGTTAAAAAATAAACAATATTTCAGTGCAATTAATGCTTTTTTTAAATTGTACATTACCAGAAGATTTGTGCTATAAAGCAGATTAAATATTAATAGATTATATATAAAAATTTCTTAAGATAATAACATAAAATAAACCACATTTGATGTTATGAGAAATACATGTATTAAAAATAAAGAAATTACATCAGCTGCTTCAAATTCCACAAAAGCAAACCCTCTATGCTTTTCTACAAAGAAGTTAAAGATCTCTAACAAAACACATGACTCATTAAAAGTAATAAAAATGCTTCAAATGAAAAATACTGATTATCCAAATAAATACTTTAATAATTGTATAAAATTATTTAACTTGAACAAAAACTAGAACACAGTAAAAAATTAAAAGAGCATTGTCCCCGATAGAACATCAACAGTTATGGAAACATGCTTTTGGTTGTTGATGTTGCTTTCTGATGTTGATTTTTTTTTTACAATCAATACAACTATTTATCTTTTTTATACCCTTATTTCACAAAGAGATATCCACATCTTTATTTATTGGGAAATAATTCATCATTTTTAATAAATATAAAGAATGCAATACTTGTTTAAAAAATACAACTTACCAAAGATGAATTTTTGCTACATTATTTTTATTCACTGATTCATTTTATTTAACACATTTCTTCTATTTTGGTAGAAATTGACAGCAATTAACTAAATTTAAGTGGAGGGGTTCGGAAGTAGTGGTCATCAGCTGTTCCGAAATTTTGTCTCTTTCTCAATTCATCAGCAAAATTTTTTTTCTTTTCTGCTTATGAAGATATTGGTTCAATTCGTATTTGAATTTTGCTTTTATATTTATAATTACTTAATTAATGACAGGATGCAACAGGCTAACTTCTGCACAAGTTGTGCTGTTTTTTTAATAATATTTTTTTATTTTCAATGGGTAATGTCCCTGATGTGATTTATTGATTATAAAAATAAAAAAACACACACATACAAATACAAGTTATTGTAAATAACTAGATGAGTTTATAGCATTATTTGTAAGGTAACTGGGGGTTGAATTTATTGAGAATATAGCTGCCTTAATCAATCAATATAAAGAAGTAAGAATTTAAACTTACACAATACCAAACATAAAACATTAATGTAACGAAGCATTGCGATGCATCAAATACTGTGATGTGAGTGTGATGATACATCGCAATGCCATAATCTTAACATCGCCTAATCTTAATAACTGTATATATGGGTGCTGGACTGCACCTGTGCATGCAGATAAGTGTGCTGCAATGATCGAGAGTGTGGGAGGAGTAAAGGTTTTGACTTAATACTGTCAATTTTCTTAAATTTTTTTTGTTTAAAGTTTAAGTGTGATTGACTAACATAAATTTGCCCAGAATTCACTACACTATTTTTTTTTAAGATTAAAAAAATTGTTTCCATTAGTATAGTAGATTTTATATAAACTTTTATGTAAACAACATCGGCATTCATTATAACTTTTAGCTTGATTGTTAGGTATAAATTTGTCTTAATCCACAACTTTAATAGACCTAAACAGACAAAGTTAGAACGATGCATTTACAGAGTAACTTTCTTTCCAAAGATAAAATAAATGTATTGGTCATACTTATCTTGTTTGAAAATTGTATTCGATCATTTTGTGATATGTTAGTCCCTTCTGTTGTTTATTTTCAAGATGAAACATAAGTAGTCTTACAGTTATCTTAATAAATGTTATTTATCAAAAAAGACAGCACTAAATGAGCATCTAATTTTTAATTCATTTTCCCTAATGAAATATTATTTTAAAAGGTTCTTTTACATGTATATTAACATAACAAAAATGTTGTGTCATTACCTATTTGTTTAAACTAGTCAAGTATTATTTTAGCCATGAGTAGTTAATATTTACGGTATTTTTTTTTGTATTCACGATATCACATAACTAAGTTTGTTTTATGCAGCCAACATGAGTCGTTATATTGAGCACTGATATGGACTGCAAAACTTCCCAAGAAGTCTTTCGGAGGAAAAAAAGAACAAAAAAAATGTGTCAAACATCTAAGTTATGCCAACATCTGCATTACTTGATTTGCAAGGTGTTGACACACTTAATCATGGATTTAGGATGCAAAATCATTAGAATGAAATTATTTAGTATAAAGGATACGAGTTTCATAATCCAAAGGAATTTGAACATCAATTATTTCCCCAAATGGAATAAAAGCTGCATGAATAATATCTTTATTTACTTCTTCTGCTAAACCACCTACGAATAATAGAACAATTAGTATAATATTTAATAGAACAATGCTTAAAAAAAGATAACTACAATAAAAAAAAATTTTCTTAAATTAATATATTATGTAATAACAGAGAAAAGTAGAGACATATTTTTTTTATATAAAAAAAGACATACTGACATCTCAGAATAATATAAAACATGAGAAAATATTTAAATATCTAAATTTGATGATAAATATTAAAATAACCAGGAAAAATGCCTGGTAATGGCCTGAAAAAGGGGTAAGATATTTTTTTTCAAAAATAAAATACCTATGTAATTTCTGAAAATTTCTAAGAAAAACAAATGAAAACATGTCAAAAAAACTGACACTTTTCAACAGGATTTTGGTGTGTCATGTCAAAAATCAAACATTGATATTGACTGAAATACTGCTTTAACTTAAATTACAATTAAAATAAAACTGATTTATTTCTTGGCTGTGAAACTCATACATACAGTTATAATATTTCACAGTGAAACCCAAAATTAAAACAATGTGAAACAATAATCATTAATCTAATTCAGATAACTAGTAAAACATATAAAATTTTTATGCTTCAGTGAACATTTTTGGTACCTATATGTTTTAAAACTATGGTTCAACAAACATGGAAAATATATAGCTCAAATCTAAAGAAAAAATCATAAATTTCAATCAGCATCATTGTAAGTGAAAGAATTCACAACAACAGTCAACAAATCTGTAAATAATTTACCAAATAAACATTTAATTTATAGACGTATGAATTTAAATTAAATCAAAAAAAAAATTTCTAAACAAATCATTATACTGAAGAAAAAAGAACGATGCATCTAGTTACACATTATGTGTAAGCAAAAAAAAAAAAGAAGTAATGTGAAATTCTTAATATTATAGGGAATATTTCACGGCTGATACTTAAGTCAAACAAAATAATTATAGAGTTCCGATGACTCATGAGAAGTGGGATGCAAGAAACTAAAAAAACACCGCAGAAAAGGACCAACTTTAAATGTTTAACTCGCAAATCTCTAAATATTTCTATCCAGGGGTAAACCTCTACATATTTCTTTCTTAAAATATTTTCAAGTTTAATATTTTTTAGGCAATTGTAGAACAGAAAACGATACCGAATCATCCCTGTATTAAGCAAAGTTTTTTTAAAAATGGTTTTTGGAACTTGACAGATGTCTTCTTTACCTAAAATGTAATATAGTTGGGGGTTAAAAGGTAGAATCCCTTGGTTAGGCAACAAATTTCAGTTGTAAAATTTTTTTAGCACTCAATTTCTGATAACTATATTTTTCTTCTTGCTGTCTCTGTATTTAATGACATCAGCATCAGGGGAATATTTCCGTATTGTAACCTGCCACACCAACTACAATGTCCAAAGCCCCAAATTGATTTTAAACGGAAATTAAAAAAAAAACATCTAGAGGTTTGTCTGTAGTTCATTTACGTCACACAAGAGCTGCACAATGGGCTATTGGCGACGGTCTGGGAAACATCCCTGAGAATGATTCGAAGATATGCCATCACATTTTTAATCTTCTGCACAGGGGATGGCGGCAATCCCGCTTTGGTAGCCTGACGACCTGCAAGCGAAGTCGAGCATTTTACGGCAGAACATTTTAACGAGGGCCAATACCTTACACCCTCAGTCCCTATGCAGACTGATCCAAGTGGTTACTCACAAGCACAATGACAGCAACCAGTGATGCTTGACTTCGGTGATCTGCTGGTAAACGTGTTTTAACGATCAGTCCACAGTGGGACGATGTTTGTTTAGAGCTGGTCCCCATAAGTGATGCTTTTTTTAATTTTTCGAGGGCCGCTGCCGAGAAGTTGCCAAGACTTGGCGATTATTCTACCACAGATCACGATACTGAAATTTCCCTGGTTACCTCGATTCTTCACTTTAACCTAGCTGGGCAATAAAATAAAATTGCATTACTCTCACAAATAGTAACTTCGATTATGCCCAGTCTTATACTTAAAAAAAGTGTAAAGTAAGGGTTAAAATCACCAAAACTTTAATGGCATTACTAGAAAAACGACTTACCCACATAAATCGTACGTTTCGAATTGGCAGACATACTCAAGTTAAACAGAAGACAATTTTTGTTTGGAAATCTTTTATAACTTTAATAACAATTCGAATGATTTCATAAACTATTTGTTTAATGCTTATAAAGATTAACCAAGGTAGAGATTAGCAGATAAATTATAAATCCTTTAAGATTTAATCGTGGTTATTGACTTTTCCTGAGTTTTAAATTTAAGTTTAAAACATAGAGGAATGTTTAAAAATTACGGCATGAAATAGTTGTGAGATGATAGTTTAATAATAAAATTTAAGCTTGCAGCTTGTGTTGATATGCCGGGGTTGAATGTTGAATGCCGGGGGTTTGCATGCCGGGTTTGAACGGGCTTCCTACCGACCAGCACAAATGTAAGTAGTAGGAAACTTTTTTTTGCTGTCTGCAGCAAACTAATGTTTTGTTTAGACCGGTTTTGACGGGGGCGAAAGTACCCATGCATTAAATTTCTTACTATTTTGTGATTTTACATCTATCCATTATGAGTATGTATTATGAAAGAATAAAACAATAGAAAATTTTGTTGATCATTGATGACGGTTCAAAAAATCAGTTTATTAATTCATTTTTAAATTAGAAACTGTGCACAAGCTCTTAAACTTGGAAATTTAAGTACTAAATTTGCTCTTCTGCAAAGTAATAGTTAATATAAAAATAATATAGAAAGGCCATTGAAAAGTAATGAAGGTAGTCACGAATTATCTGTGTTAATGTTCTTAAATTGCGTAATGACTAAAAATACCTCTTCCCCTTCTTGCTGTCGTGTGAGATTGGTTGTTCTCATAACACCTTAACTGATTCTCCCCTAGTTAGCCTCAGCCAGTTTACCCAAATGCCTTTATTGACAAAATTTCAGGTTAAAAAAAATTTACCAGTTATAGGGTTAAGACCATTGTCATGTTTTCAATTGTTACCAGTGCCATATATAAAAAGTTTAATTAGTTTTAATGTAGGAAAGCAAAGAATTTTTTTTTGTGTGTGTACACAAATAATTTAGTTAATTAATTTTAATGCAAGAAAGTTTGCAATAAAGAAACTTTTATTTGTAATAGTAAATATTAAATAGCAATGTGCCAATTGTAATTTTTGTTTTTTCATGAAAATGAAAACACTTACAAAATATGTGTTGTAAATTAGCATTACTAGAGTGCAATGGAAGAAGACTCATCGGGGGTCTGTCCAGGCCAAATTTACTACTATTAAGTAAATTTGGCCTGGTACCTTCACAAATTCAACTTTAGGAAAAATGGTAGTTTCACAAAATACTTTGTCTTAAAATTTTATTTTTGTATCCCGTAAGAAACGATCAAGCCATATTTTTATATTGATTTTTTAATATTTTTAATTTTTACAGATTATGTCTAAATTTTCACAAAATAGGTTCCTCTCAGAAAAACCTAGACAGATCCCTGCTCATGATTCTTTTATCAGTTGATGTGGACTCCCAAGTTTCTGAAAAATGAGGAATCTGATGTTGATGAATTATTATTTGTGAAGTAATATACCTATCTTTTTTATATAGTTGTTTTTTGATAAAATTATTAAAAATGTTGAAAATACAATAAATTATAAGCTGATTTGCTCAAAAACTTACAGTTGAACACATGTATTTAACTCAAAAGTTGAAGCACTTGGGTAGCTGTGTGTTGCACTTGCTCTGGTTTTTAGATTACACCCACTGGTTAACTATTATTAAATTAGGTTCATTAATGTCAAACATAGGATACACCAATAAAGGATTATGCTACCCCTAAAAACATTAACTACTATATTGTTGGTATGAATTAAAATAATTTTAAACAGTGTTTATTATTTTGCACAGTATTTTAATCTGAGAAAATAAACTAAGGATCGCGAAATTTGACTGAAATATGAATAATTGACCCCTGTTTTGCCAATTTTTTTTCCCTTGGCATTGAGAGTTATATGCAAAATGTACTGAATAGCTTGCATTTTAGAAAATGTGAAGCAAATAAATTACTTACGGGATTGGTGAAAAGTTTGGATTCATGAACATTATATTGTGTGTTTATTTTTTCTGCATTTTTATGTCTGTCAAAGTTATTTTTTGTTTCATACTTCACATTTTAAAAAAAAATAATTCAAATTAATATAAACTTGGATTTAATAACCTTAGCTGGAAAATTAAGGTAATTTTTCAATATTTATTAGGAGTGTTATAAATTTTCAGATTAGAAATCTGAATTCTTTCTCAAAACCTTTTCAATCTCAGATCTAGTTTGAAACATGGCCAAATCAATGTTTTTTTTGTTGGTACTTTGGGATTATCCCGTCGACCATTTTCATTCTTTGGGATTATCCCATTAACCTTTTTCTCCAAACCTGATATTATTTCCAAAAGGTAGCTTCTGGGTCACTAACTGTAGATTTTATCATATTTATTGTGTAACGCTCTACTACATGAGCTTGTTTTCTTTAGTGTATTTCAACAAATTTCTGTGGTGGCGACTGCACAAGGGTAGTGACTACTTTGTTTGTGCTTTAAAAGCTATCAAGAATTTTTGTGCTCTGAAGTAATTTATAAGAATATATATGGNTATTACTTCATTGCTTTTTCTTTTTAAGATTATTTCCAAAAAAAAATTTTTTTTTAGTTGGGTTTAACAATAAAAAAACGGCTTTTTGTAGCGATTCAGAAAACCGGAAAAATCAGTTATCCGGAACAGCGATGGTCCCGATCTTTCCGGATAATCGGTTCCCTACTGTATATGGTTAGATTCAAGAATAATTTAATGCGTAATTATAAAAAGAATAATAAAGGTTTTTACTTTGTTTTGATTCTTTTTGTTACACTTTTTCATTGCAAATTTTTACACTTACATTTTTTTTGTTATTATTATATTATTATTATAATTTGATACATTTAATGTGTTTAGAGTGTTTATTTTAAAAATTGCTTTTCATTAAAATGACACCAAAGGATTTGTGCCTTTTTTCGAACATTGACAGGTTGACGGGATAACCCCAAAGTGCAGGTCCACAAATAAACCCAAAGTACATTTTTCTTAAACATCTGTTGTTGTTGCTTATCCTCATAGATCTGACATTAGTCAGCTCAACTCCAAAAAGTTGTCAACAGCCAGAAAGTCGATGGCAAGAAGGGGATCAGAATTTAAACATCTTATAATAGTAAATAAATGTGCATAAAGAGCAAAGAGAGTGAAAAAGTATCCTTGTGCTGCAGTAGACCAACAATACATGAAGAGCATAAATTATGTAGTTTTCAATGTTAATTGATCAGTGCAGTGTTGAGTATCCTCTTTAGTTCCAGAACACAGAATGTTGATGACAGTACTGTGACATATATTATTTGGCAATTCATTTACAGTCTATTATTCGAATTCTGAGTAGTTGACCTCTTTTTTAAAGAATAATTATTGTTAGTCCAATCCAACAATATAATGTTATAAGCTAAGAAAAATTGTCTAACAAGGATGTTTCTACTTTTTAATAGTAAACAAAATAACATTTTTAATAGGTAATAGATGTTTTTTAGTTGTTAAGAATCAAGTGTACCATGTATCCTGGTATACAGGTCCACTTTTTAAAACTCCCAAAATTTTACCAAAATCGGACGGTTGTTTTATGTATCGGTAATAAAGTTGGACATACGTTTATCTTGAAATATAGCTGCATTATAAACCATGTGGATATAAATAATTCTGTATCAATTTACTCCTTTCAAAAATTATTTTTAATGTGTTTTATAGAATTAAATTTGCATTTTCTTTCATCATAGTTTTTGTTTTTACATATAAAGTTATCTTTTTTTACAAACATTGCTCTAAATTACATTCAGGAAAATAAGAAGAATAGTTATAATAATTTATTCGAGCTTTACAAAAAATTTAAAACAATGAAAACTTTTAAAATATACCATAAAGCTGCAAATTACCTGAATAACTGATTAAGTACAACCTGATTAACTGGTCGCCTCACAGCATATGATAACTCATATTTAATTGAAAGAGAGCCTCGTTGCATCTTGATTTAAGGATCTGGACAAAGTTAAATATATTTTACTTGAGAAAATTTTGTGATGTTATTATTTTTTTTAATTTTAGAAATTTTCACATAAGGTTATTTTATAGTTCAACTTTTAAACCCAACTTTCTTATCTTGTTATCAAAAATAGGGGATCACTTTATTATTAATTTTGCTAAGATCAGCTGTTATTAATTTTGTGTGATAATTTAAAAGCGTAACTTAATTAAAAATGCTTTGTAAAAAAGTATAAAAACAATAATTTCTTTTTAGAAAGATATTGATTATCGAGGATGGTTTTGATTTGCTATTAATCACATGCTTTTGTGTCTTTTTTTTCTTTCTAATTTATATAATAATCTTCGATTATTTTTAGTGTATTCTATTAATATATTTTCCCTCTCTCTGGTTATCATAAGTACACTTTATTTATTTACAGATAATAATTTTCGTTACCATTGCTTTATTGCTAGTTTTTTATAATTCATTGAATTTGATCTCTAAAATAAAGCACAATGTAAGAATCAATCAGAATGCAAGCTTAATGTAATAAAGCACATGTAAACATTAATCAAACACTTTCTGCGGTACAACCTTTTTTTTCTTCAATAATGGTGTTTAAGTGTTTAATATATTTACATATATATTACAGATAATTTACACTTGAAGAAAAGGAACTGATGACTTCTTTCCAAAATGATGTAAGTGTGTATTTTTCTACTTGTTTCTTAGCAAACAAACTAGAGTAAATAAAGATTGTAGATATCATAAAATGAAAACAGGAAATTAGTTTGAGGAAACATTAGTTTTAGGAAAAAATTAGGGCTGGAGATTCTTCATCTTAAAATTTATGATGGCACTTGAAATTTAAAAGAATTTCTTTAGACATGGAGCACTTTTCTTTCCATTCTCAGCTAGCTGCTTTAATAACTGAAAATATGATCTGCTTTTGCATCTTAAAATATTGTCAGCTCTCATTCAGGGTGAAAAATTTAAGTTTTAAAAATACTTGCTGGAATAAAAGTTTTGCCCAATAGTCTGTAAAATTCAACAGTTTTTTGGTGACCAAAACCTCAAAAAAAAAATTTTAATATATATATATATAAACTTAATCTAAGCATATTTATTGCAACAATCATAATATTAAATCAAAATAAGACTGTCTTAATATTTCAATGTTTTCATAAGCAAGATTTTCTTGGTGGAAAATGGGCGACTTATTTTTTGTTTGTTCTAAATCAAAGAAAAAGACTGTCACTTGATACAGTTCCACAAGTTGCATCATTGAAATGCAATATGGTAAGCTGATGTAGTTTAATATAAAGTTCAACATTTCATAAGACCTACTCACCAGCTTTAAATATTTAATTGCCAGTGGCAAGCTGGTGAATAGAAATTTTGTGCCCTTCTCTAATTAATTAGCATATCTAAGGTTAGACCTTTAAGTGAAAATCTGATCACTAGATTAAAAGTTATTCCCAATATTACAATGTTTTGCACACTGTACATTGTTTTAGTAAGTTAAAATTAGATTAAAAAATGCCATTTGACCTTCAAATTATACAAGTTTAAGAAAATTATTGAACAGAATATAAAAAACTACCATTTAAGACTTTTCTTAAAGAGTGAAAATGTCTGTTAAAAAAGTTTAATCAAAGATAAATTTCGTCTTCAAAAGGATATCGTACTTTTCATTGAACCAAAGATTTAAAACATGTTCCAAGAGTGTTCACTGAAGTTGAAGTATAAAATTTCTATATGTTTTTCTACCTATCTGATTTAGATTAATGATCAATGTCAAAAACTATCCACACTATTTCACATTGTTTTAATTTTGGGTTTCTTAGTGATTTTGCATTTAATGACTTGCTGAGAGCTATTGTGGCAATTATTTGTATATATTTACTAATGTGTACATTTGTAAATGTAACTCTTTTTCAGTACTTTGTAGCAACTTCTTTGCTCATTGGTATAAATCAGATTTACTTTCATGTATGAGCTTGTATTTTTCCCCCCATCAGAATAATAATCTAACATTTGGAATTGTAATTATTACTTATTTTTGTAGGTTTCACAACTTGAGATGCCTGATGTGTTCATGGAAATGTTTTTTCACCCTCTGTATTTTATGCACCTGTCTCAATTTGTTACTCTTGAATGTTTACTTGCGTTCATTTGTGTATCCCAAGGAGGTAGATTGCATCACATACAGAAAAAATCACAAGGAGGATTTTATACTTAAAGAGGACTTTCCGATGAACACAAACCTAATTACTAACAACACAAAATGGTTTGCAGTTGCTGAGGAATCATATGTTTACTCTGTATATCATAGCAAATGCCCCCCAAAATTTGGTTTTAATTACTGCATACAATTTATTGGCATTACATTAAATGCCACTGTTAGCAATCATAAACTAAACGGTCATGTCTCCACAACATATATTTCTTCCTTAAAATGTGGCCTCAGAAAACAATCCGTGACTTTCGAGGAAGGTCTAGTCTTCGTCGAATTGATGCCAGAAGGTCATTTTTTACCATATACGGCTGCTTTTTTTTACTGTGACTTGAAAAGTATGACAGATAGTGAGTTATTTCCGGAATATGTAACCATATATGATAAGAAACCTATAAAATGGTTTCCAATTGAAAAAGTTACCTTTAAAGAGGATTTTAAACTGCCATCTTTGAGCTTGTGCGTTCGACCACTCTATGGACATTTCTCAAGTCTGTTTCTTCTTCAGTTTTTATCATATTATGTATCTGAAGGAGTTGACCAGTTCATCTTCTACCATCATAATGTATCGCAGTCTACTTTAGAGTTTCTGAGCTACATTGCTGATACTAGCATTGTTAGCCTGACACTATTACCTTGGAATGTACCTCTGAGTAACAATGAAGTACACGAGTACGGGCAGATAGTTTTCACACAAGACTGCCTGGCGCGCAGCCGATACAAGTACAGTCACACTCTGCTGGTGGATCTTGATGAATTTATTGTGCCAAAAGAACACAGAACTTTAGTCCAACTTGTTACATATTTAGATGAATATTATCCATATGGCGGAAGCTATGTTATACCAAATGTATTGTTTTGTGAAGAATTCCAAACTGTGCCAAATTTTTCTTTGCCTGCCTTATACCATGACCAGCGGCAGAAGACTCCTTGGGCGTACGGATATCGTTCTAAATATATTGCTCGAGCACACAGAGTTAGGTATGGAGGAGTACATCAGGTTTGGGGCTTTGAAAATGGATACCAAGAAGTCAATGTGCCTTCATCTGTGGCATTGCTGCATCATTATAAGCCCTGCTGTGGCATGCAACAGACATGGTTTTTGCACCTCCTCTCTTTTAATGTTTTAGATGATCAAATCATGACTGATAATAGCCTGCATCAGAATGGTGGACTTTTTAATGATACACTAAATCAGCTATTTCTGAGATTAAAAGATAACATTTAACTTCCACATACAGGTATATTAAATGATAATTACTTTTAAAAAAACTTTTAATTTAACTGTTTGATTTTCATTTTTTAAAGTTGAAATCTTCAATCAATTCAGACATGTTATTTGATAAAATTATTAATATTTATGTATATTCTAAGCCTTCTTAAATTTTTGTGAAGTTTAGTCTTTTTTAAGTAGTTTAATGCTTGTTAAATTTGTAATTGAATTAGCAATTAATTTTAATTTATAATTGAATTAGTTTCTAACATGGTGTGTAGCATTTCTAAAAAGTGCTTAAAGGGGCTTATTTTCGTTTTTTAAAAGCCCTTAAAGGTTTTTTTTTGTGGATGTTTTTAAAAAGTGCTTAATTTTCCCTTTTCGAAAATGAGATTATCAAAAAAGCAATGCCGATTTTTGCCATTTATTATGTAAAAGCGTGCTTTTCATATTCATGCATTCAATGTTTTTACAATTCATTCAACCACAATCTATTTCTGTGTACTGTTAGTCATTACCATATGAAAGCGCCAATCATTTTACATGTCTGATGAAATACTTACGAGTCCGCATGTGTATTTATTAAGCTTGGTTCAGTGAGATTATTGCACTATCATGTGCAACTCTGCTGCATTTTGCAAGATAATCTCAATTTCAAGCTTCATTTTCCACCCTCTGATATTGTATCAAAAAATCATTTTATAATGGCTAATATAATCAAGAAAAGACTTTTTTGTCAGAAACTAGTTATTTTATCATGATCATGTAAAGTCTTTGAAAATTATTTTGTATTTTTTTAATGTGTATAGTGCTTAAAAATATTTTTTGAGTGTTTAAGAAGTATTTAAAAGGTGCTTATATTTTGTTGAAAGATTTGGGTATGCACCTTGTATAAGTTTATTTTTTTATTGACTATATCATTGCTTTTACAATTCAAATTTACTGTTTTTTTTGTTTTTTTTACGTTTTTCAGTTTAATTGTTTTTTTAAAGTAAAACTTTGACATTTTTTGAATGTTTTGCTTTTAGAATTCAGAACCACATCTAAACTGCTATGACGCTGTTTGTAGTCCAGTTAAAAGAATTCACCAAGTCAAACAGCGCAGTCTTCTAAATTTATACTTATCTGTGATAATTAGAATTTTTTATAAGTATACCTTGAGAAAATTTAATTAAGATACAGCCTGAAACTAAAAAAAAAAAACACTTAAATTTTTTTTATTACTTTTAAGTTAATTAAAGGAAATTTAAATAAATTTCGAATTTTAACAATCTGAATTGTTGAATTTTAGTCTTAAAATTATGTAATACTGCATTTCTGTACTAATAAATCTTAATATAGGATGGAACGAGACTAAACTATGAATCGATTTTTGTATGTACTGAATATATTTTTATGTTATGTAGTTATTAAAAAAAAAAACCATATTCTGTGATGATGAACATTTGTACTTCTACATGGTTTCAATATATTATTTTTACTGTTGTAGATATTGTTATGTCCAGTGCTAAAAAAAGGACAAAAGCAGGACCACACTGAATAACTTTTGATCCAATGATCGGATCTTCACGTTCTAGGACTCTATCTTAATGGCTCAAGGGGGTGACCTCTGATATAATCAATAAGTGTAGACGATATTATAAATTGCAAGATCAGACACAAAAATATACTTTCTCTGAATAAGCATATGTTTTTTTTTTGTACAAATTAATCAAAAAGTTTTGACCGAAATATAGGGGGAGCCACAATCTGGGAAATATGATCTTAATAGTTTGATCTGGAGCTCCAAAGATTGGACCCCTTAATGTTAATTTCACTTTTTGCGTATTTTGCAATGTTTTGAGAACTTTTTAAGGGAATTGAAAAGATTTTAAGCACAATCATAAAATTCGTTTATCAAAGGATAATTTGTTGCTAAAATTAACTTTTATTAAATATTTATTATTTTTATTGTTTTATTTAAGAATGGACAAAAAATATTTGAATTGTAGGGTATAAAAAATTTTTTTGCATCACTTTAAAGAATATAATTTAACATGGCAAAATACAAAATTAGTGCAAAATCCGTCGAATAATTCCTGAGAAATTGAATTTCAAAAAAGTCAGATATTTAAATTTTGATTTTTTAAGAACTATTCAATCGGTTTTACTCAAATTTTGTATTTTGCCATATGAAACTACATTCTTTAAAATGCAAAAAATTTTATACATATTTACTAAAAGTTATTTTTGCATGGAATCATCTTTGGATAAACAAATTTTATAATTATGTTTAAAAATGTTTCAATTCGCTTAAAAGGTTCTCGAGATGTAGCGAAATACGCAAAACGTAAAATTAACATTAAGGGGCCTAAACTTGGGAGCGTCTTCCTGGTCGAAATATTGGGTCTGTATTTCCCAGAATTTGAATTTGTTGAAAAAATGGTATGTTTATTCAGAGAAAGTACGTTTTTGTATCGGATTTCTTAACTTAAAATATCCTATGCTTTTATTAATTAGCATATTTCAAATCACCTCCTCGAGCTATTAAGATTGAGTCCTAGAATGCGAAGATCCGATCATTAGATCAAAAGGTATCAATGGCGGTTCGTTTTTTTTGTTTTGCGCACTAAACCACTATAGAGCTTAACATTGAATAAACAGATGAGTCAATTTGAGAGTGGAATTCAATCATTTACAGTTATTTTTTATAAATCCTTCAAATATTGCTAACATTATAATCTTTTTGTTTAACATTTTTAAACATTAAGACCGATTTTTTAGAAATCGAATCTCGACCCACTTGAATTTATTCTAACATAAACCAAGTACTTTCTTCTCGAAAGGGGGCTATAATGAATTAAAATTAAATTAATAATAATGAAACTGTTGTTAATTATGTTAGATGTAATATAATTATTGTAGGTTTCGTACTCGTAATTGTCGTGATTTAAAGTGTCTTGATATTCTTTATTATTATTTTTTTTCAATATTTACAATTTCAACAAATGCGCGTTTTTAGAAAGAATTATTTGGATTTTTTTTGGAAAGCAATAGAAAAAATACTAGACCTATCAATAACAAGACCAGTATGCTTATTTTAAAAAAAATAAATAAAGGAAATTTAAAATCAAATGAAAAGGAGTTAGCTTGGAAAACAAAAGTCTTCTGCCCTTTTCCTGAAAAGAACTCATTATTGCTGAATCAAATTTTCTTATTAAACATCACCCTTCGAGCAAAATAGTTTTCTATTTTTGTCATTTTGCACCCCTTTTCATCACAATAGAAATTCACGGGCATTAGACTGCGAGATCAAGCACAGCAGGTATTTTTCATGCATAGGGTGCTTAAAAAGAACAATTGTTTTCTTTCATATTTTGGAGTTCTATCAATAATGAATCCAACTTGATGATTTGATTAAAAATCAAGAGAAGTTTAGTGTTATCTTCTAAGCAGTGATGTTAGTGCAATTATTTGTTACATTTAAAAATAGAAATTGAAAAAAAAGGATTATTAGAAAAAAAAGTTGAAAAATCTGTACCTACAGTTTTAAAGATATCAAACCTTTCTTCCATATTATAATTTCATTATTTGTACATAAAATAAAGAATTCGCGTGTGTGCTTATGTACGCGTACCTGATTACGGGTATGTCGTTGGCTCTAGAATACAAAATTTGTCATAAAGTTCAGTGCGGGGGGGAGGGGACCCTGAATAGCCAACTTGTTTTAGGAACAATACAAACTTGTTTTAAGATTCTCACCATCAAAATATATATCTAATACGATACTCTCCTTTTAAACAGTTCGTGAGGTCTTCAAGATACTAAAATGGTGGCAGCTAAACTAAAAAGAAGAAACGTATTTGTTTATGTTCACATTCACCATAATGTTAAATTTCATTTACTCCAAATATTTGGTTTAAAAATTTCAATTATAAAATAAAGACGATAACTTCATAATTACAATAATGATGTCACGCTTCTCTTACTTTTTTAAAGGCTGCATGAATCCTGTTTATATATTAAAATACTACAGATGTTTACATTTATGAGAGTAAAATTCTTATCTAAATAATGATCAAGACCCAAATGTAGCGCAGTATAATTGATAATAAAAGCTTCCTTGGATTCAAAAAATATAAAGATGAAAGTAAATGTTGATGTGTTTCAAGCGCTCAAAAGTAAGCACCCGTCCTCGAAAGGAGTGATTTGTGACGTCAATTTTTGAACACTTAAAACAAGTTTGCTTTTATTGTGATCTTCAAATTTTCAGAAGTAATCTTTTCGCCTCAGTTTCTTGGAATCATTCAGTTAGTAATACAGTGTATTAAATTACATCACGCGATATTAGAATTGGTTTGATGCAAGATAACGGCACAGGCTCTTAAATTGTAAAAATAGTCACAACTTTCTAAAAAAATCAATGCAAATTTCTATACTTTAAGGAAGCAAAAAAAATTTCGTTTACGATTGAAATTTCATAAGTTCAGTGAAAAAAAGGGATGCCCCCTAGCAACAGGAATCGAAGTTAAATAGTTACAAGGACAGTTATTTCAAACAAGATAACGTTCCCCTCCTACTTGAAATTGTGTTTTTTATGTACCGATTTCAAAATTTATTCTAAATATACTTCAGACGTACTTCGATTGAGTTTATTTTTACACCCTTATTTGCTTATAATTATCAAATAATTTGCTTAAAATAAATTACTCAAAGCTATATGATTTAAGGCATTTATAGTATAAAAGTTAACAGGGCTTCCATCGCATATCATTAACCCCGATACTGCTATCTTTTTTTAAGGAAAAAAACTTGGATAAATAATAATAGATAAATAATATAAATAAATAAAACTGATAGATTTTTCTCGTTAGTCAGCTTCTTAGACTATTTGTGAATTTAAAATAAGTGTTCAATACGAAAGCAGCATTTACAAACTAATCACACTTTCACTTATATTTAAAACTCCCTTTCTGTTGTACACAAAAATGAAATCAAAGTGAAACAACATATGACGGGTTCAATTATAAAGTCAATTTATTATTAATTCATTTACGCTACATGAAGAGGGAACTCATAGATGTAATATTGTGCAAGAGTACATTAGTCCCTATTTCATTGAAAAAAAGGAAACTAGGGGGGAAAAAAAGCACCTTGTTTGTAATTATATGGATTTCACAGCTGATAAAATTCATTCTGTTAAAATTAAAATTTAGTATAATAAAAAATTAAAGAAATATAAATATTTGAAAGACATTAGATATTCTTAAAATTATTTACTTTTTAGAAAAATATGCCTGCCAACTTCCCTCAATTTATCAGGAGATTTTAAATGCAGTCTTCGAATGGGAGTAAATTTTATGTTTTAACATTAAACTTCATGTTGATATATGTGTTGAAAAATGAGAGAGAGGAAGAAAGAGAAGCTGATCGCCTTCATATATAAATGCTTGAGCACATTCACATCTAAAACAGTTATCAGTTTAGTCGCAGCTTCTACGTCGCACTGGCGAAAAATAAGTAGAAAAAAAAATAATTGCTAAAATTTCCCTCGTCTAGCCTTTAAAAAAAAAAAAAAAAAAAAAAAAAAAANCGTCAAGCCTTTTTTTTTTATAAAAAAAAAAGAATAAATAATAATAGTATATATTTTATGTTACAATCCATATTAAAAGCTAAGTTATGATAAGTTAAAAAACTTAACAAAAATGTTTTGTTGTGTGTTTACCACTAAAAAGAAATACAATTCCAATTCACTAGTATATAAGACAGCGTTAACTCCATTTTAAGTTGGGGTACCTTATCATAGATGAAGGTTGACATTGTCGATCACAACTACCCCCACATTGGTGACCCGAACGTAATGTGAACACGTCTACCTTGACAGAAACGCAAACTAAGATTTGAGCACCCTACTTCGATGGATGGTTCACACTGAACAGTTAATTTGCTAGTTGTGACTAGGACATTATTCACCTCCTCTCGCTGTTGCTACTCAGTCTCGATCACACACAACGTTGGCCTGCATACACTCGGGGATCTTAATTCAGCTCTCCCGGCTTCTCACAAAACAACAATGAATCAATTGGTGGTATCCGTTCATCGAATTCTATCACAGATATAACTCTGGCGAGGGAGTACTGTAGTGTGTGTCTACCACTACGAAAATTCAATTCCAATTCACTAGTATATAAGACATGTTAACTCGATTCTATGTTGGGGTACCTTATCATAGATGAAGGACGGCATTATCGTTAACAACTCTCCCCACAGATTGTTTCCTTTTTACTGTTTATGCTGATAGGCTTAATGTGAGGGAGGCGCACTTTTTGCTTTTAAAAAACTGTTCGTGTACTTTTAAGTTTTATAAATACCACTATTTATACATGCACATCAATATACATACGTATACGAAATAAGACATAACACTTCAAATAAACGTAGACATAGCACTTAAAAAAAAGTAACAGTTTTCTAAAAACAAAAAGTGTGCCCCTTTTATGTCACGCCTA